GGAAAATAACAGTATTTTTGAATAATAGTTGTAATTTAAAGACCTACTTAAGTCTAATATAAGTAATGTAGTCCATTTAAATAGCAAATAAAAGTTTGCTTCAGAGAGAATCCCATTGCAAAAGGTGATATGGATAGAGGCATGGCCAGCCCTGAAATTCACCTCTGCCCTGCGACCCAGTGGCAGTTTGGCGTTACGTTAAAATTCTGTAATTGCAGGCCACCCTGCCCGGGATCGAGTCCTGTTGTGGATGCTGATGAGACCGAAACTATAATAAGGCCTGGATGAATATAGCTTTCGAGAGGCAAGGCTAAATGGAGTTTAATGGCATGGTGAAGCCTACTCTTCCCATTGTATTAATATTCAACCATCAATCCTGATTCTCCTTGTGTGACATAATGTGAATACAGCCAGTATTAAAGATATACAGACCGATTTCATACCAACTCAATGCGAATAACTGTGGGATTATGCAACCCAGTTGCTGTCCTCATCTCGAAAAATGACCTACCACCGAAGGCAACTTGACGTCTGCCTATTGGTAGTCTCGAAAACCTACTTATAAACGAAAAATAAGTCATGCAGTCGATTGCTTTAGTAAATATAACTTTGCCTCATCGGCAATCTTGACACAGAATGTGATATGGGCAAATGCCCGACCTTCCTTGAAATTCACACCTGCCCTATGACCAAAGGGCACTCGTGGCAGCGTGGCGTAGTGGCTACATGTCGAAGTTATACACTGCCGTGTCATGGTTCGAGTCCAATTGGGGTTGCTGATGATACCATATCAGTTGAGTCAAATCTGTATTCCACTCCTGGCTGGATGAGAATACCTTTTGGGAAGTAAGGCTATGTGAAATTCTTGTAAACTGAAGGTCTAATCATATCATTGCGGGAAAATTCAAATCGCATTCCCTTCATCATCTTAAACGTATTAGGGTGAATGCACTTTATATCTGTTTTCAAGTAGTTATACACGCAAGCAAATAATATAACTCTGGTCGAATGCATATCGTTCATATTTTTTCGCCAGTTCTCAGTATTATATCCATTATGTTAGGTAGGAAAAATGATTAATGCTACTCTAAATGTTGAGCTCGACGACGGAGAGATTATGCTGGATAAATAACCAAGCGACTTTCGGATAAAATAAGAATAACTACGCCTTGATCCAAGAGCATTCGGGACTAATAACACTTTTCCACTCAAGCAAGCCTCAACCTACCAACATCCCATAATCTCCATTCTTCACCATTCTAGTTGGACGTGGACACCTCTCTTGTTCTACGCCTGTCTTGCCGGCCTTGCCCGATGCACGCCCGTGTTTGCCTACGCTGCCGGCTTTTATGTCGGCGCCCTCCTCATAGAGACAGAAGGCCTTCTTACCGTCAACATGACGAGGTAAGTTGGGTCTGGGAGACGAGAGAAATGGGGAGCAGCTACCTCTACCTAAGCTGGTACCTGTCGAGTAATTGAGTAGTTCACTTGATCCAACTGAGATATCCTCTTCTCTGGATCTTTCTCTTTTCGCCATACGGCACCGGTGATAGCTGATTATCCCAAATAATGCGGTAAAATTCGATTCGCAAGCACTGAAATCCTTGGTAACTAGAAATCGTTGTTCGAGATATCTTTACTAATGTATTGACCACTGTCTGATTCGTGCTACCTTATTTACTGCATAAAGCCACTCTATTATAAATTTAAACTGTACTTTTATAACTTCTCCAACTTTGCATTTCAACATGGCCAACAATAGTTAAATGGTTGACAACTTTGACAAATTATTTGCGGAAAAGCAATTGAATCTTAAGGCAAGTTATAATAAGCCAAAATTATAATATCAGTTAGTGAAACCTGAAATATTGGGTAGAATTCATTGCAATCATATTACTTGAGAATTCATGAAAAAATAACTCTTTTTTCAGGCAAACCTTTGCTAGTGAAGATAAGATAGTTAAGGAACAGGGTCTGTACAGTGAAGTTAACTTGTTTAAATATCGTGCCGGTGAACCCGGTACTAGGATATATTCAGTCTATTTCGTTAAGGTGATTAAGCTCTGGTAGTTGAAGTTCCCCATAATCATATGAGTAGTCACACCATCCCTTGTCTTTCATATAGCTTCCCAAATGCTATTCCCATCCAGGTGGGAGTGGAATGTTGTGTATAACCTCAAAACGTTGTCCATTACGCCACACTGCCACCACTGCCTCTGGGACACAAGCGGATGTGAATTTCAAGGAGGGGTAGGCACTTTCCCATATCACATTCTGTGGTGGGATTGTAGATTAGCAGACTTGTATTTGCTATATCTATCGACTATATTACTTACTTTTTGTATATATTAGTACCAGTAGATCATATATATATATATATATTAGATGTATTCATCCTATTTAGTGTAAGTTAATAAATAATTCGAAATCCACC